GCTGAAATTTAATAGAACAGTTCAAATTATTTCATCTGATTTAGTAAAAGTTCCTTTTCTATATATGTTCCTGGGACAGATTCTCACTTGCATGAATTCTCATAATTCATCTTAAGTAAATAAGGCATGACAATTTTCTCCAGCCCAAATCAGGAAGGATCTGGCCCTCTATATTTAATAAATTCAATGAGCTTCAGAAAACATGTGGTCTTCACACCTTCTATTTTTGGCATCTGCATTCATCTGAAATGCTATTCTCTCCTCAACTATGGAAGTAGAAGATGCTAAATCTCAAAAAGTGTGGGATATAATTCTATCCTTTTTTGGGATGGTGAAGCAGGGAGAAATCTTCTCACATTGCTCTGAAAAGACTGTTTTGTCTTTGACTGCAGAAATGCCAATTCCACATATTTTAGCCTCTATGATATCACTGCTCAAATTGATCATGTCACTAAATGTGAACTGTCCTACCAGATAAGGTTGTAGGACTGTCCCTAAAACATACGATGACTGGCAATCTACTCTTGACCTTTCTTCCCAAATTTAAACATAACTCTTTTTCCTTGACTATTTAGTCTAACCCAGTGATTCCCAGCCAGGGAGTTATGGAACCCTGTTGCAATATTAGCACTCTTTGGCATACAAACCTCTACACATGATTCACAAGATAAGCCCAGAAATTTCAAATACAAATCCACAATATCAAAAACATTCTGACCTGCTCGCTATTTCTGAGTTCTTTGCAGCAAAAGAATTGAGCTATTATTTTTCCACAGTCAAAAATCAAGCAAAAGCCAAGAGTTGGCATTTTCTGATGGGTACCCTGAATCTAACAAGGGGTTCCCTGAGACTCACAAGATTGAGACATACTGATCTAACTCATTATTAAGCATCTTTCTTAAGTGCTATAGGAGTGCAGTGCACCAGCCATAGTTGCCCTCTTCCCTTCATTATTTTTTTAAGTTTTTAATACATTATCTTTTAAATTAAAAAAATAAAATAAAATATACCTTCAAGGAGAAAGCAAGACTAGAACATTTCATCCCAAAAAATTAAGGGATAGCTCCTATTTCACTTTGTATGCCTGAGTGGCACTTACGCAGATAAATAACTATGGCTTTTAATCGATCTGCTGGAGTGTACTAATTAGTGCACTCCAGCAGCTTCCGTGTCATATGCATTCAACGTGCCTGCATTTCAAAATGGCAGTGGGAGTACTTTATCTAAAGCTCATCCAACAAACTTTAGTTAAAGCGCCCCTGCTGTCATTTTGAAGCGTGGGACACTGAATACATGTCATGCTGGGGGCACTTTGATTAGAGTAGCTCTCAGATCTACTCTAAGTAAAACAGCTCCCCTCAACCCCAGAGCTCATGTGTGAACCTCCTTAGTGATTAGCAGGGATCCTGGTTTTCTCTGATAAAAAAATCCCCAATTTTGGGGTTAAAAAAATACCCCCAAATCTACATTTTTCCATGATTAAAACGAAACACCACTAGTATACAGACATATATAGTGGTGTTTCATTTTAATCAGGGAAAAATGTGGATTTAGGGTTACTTTTTTAACCCCTGAATTGGGGATTTTTTATTATCAGAGAAAACCAGGATCCCTAGTAATCAGGTCACTTGCCCAGGGTGCAGGTGACCTGGATTCTGGGGCTACTCCTCACCCAACAGAAGCTTGAACCTGTATCTCCTACTTCCCAGAAAAATACTTCACTCATCAGGCCACAAGTCTGGTGATACCCCAGACCCTGCATGAGCCTCTCTCTTGGAGTTGGGTCATTAGGCAACAGAAAGACATGTTGCCAAAAGGAGGGTGCAGGCTAGAGGTTCTGGCTCAGTGAAATGGATTCTTCCTTGGAAGGAAGGGACTTAACTTGGGCCCTTGTTTCCAATAGGGCCTAACACTATTTAGCCATTTTATCCACTTAAAAAGCAAGGTATAATGGGCCAGCTTTAAGGTGAGGCTTGAAGAGAACTCAGGGCAATGTTTAGCCTGTGTCCTGGTGATTAGAGCATTTTGCAAGAAAGTAAATACAAGGTCAAATCCTCGCTAGTTAGGAAGACTTAAAACTCAGTCTCTAAACAAATGCCCTGACCATTAGGTTTCTAGGCTAAAAGGCAGGAGGAGCTCCCCTTTCCAGCATATAAAACCCACTAGGCATGTTTTTTGCCTGACAAATTCTGGGGACTTGTCCAACTCTATGCACAGATCTGGGCAATTCTGGTTTCCCCGGGTAGTGCCAGCAGGCTGGCATAAGTACTGCTAACTTGTAAAATGCACCTAAATGCAAAAAACTGTAGTTATATTGCTACATACATACTATTTAGGCAAGTAAAGCAAAATAAAATTTGGCCACAAAAGTTGTGAACTTACCAACTCCCTCTATAGTACACACTCTTTTTAGCACACAGTATTAATTCCGATCATTAAATACCTTTGCTTCCTCAAGTTCCTTGTCGGCAGTATTCAACACTAATTCTTTTTCTTTTTCCAGCTGTTCAGCCAATTTGTCAACTACTACCAGTTCTTTACAAAGATACTCATTCTTACTGGTCAAATTGTCCACCTGACTCTCCACCTCCTGCTTGGTATCAAGCAGTTGCATAACATGTTGCTCTAATTCACAGTTTTCCTTCTTCAGTTCTTCAATCTAACGGGAACAGAAAAAATACAAGTATTTTACTTCTCTTACTCTTAAAAGATTAACACAGTAAACATTTCACAACAGAAATGTTTATTTACTTACATGAGTGCAATTCCCTTATGCCCATAGTAGCTTAACTACAGTATTGACTTGATTCTAAGACAAAGTCGTTGCCCCCTGCCCCATTTAACATAGGGAAAAAAGCCTCTCATCTTAGAATTGTGTGTTGCAGGGGGCGGAGGGGGGCCGGAGGAGGAGTAACTGCTGTGGCTCAGGCTCCAGCCTCTACCCAGATTCAGGGCCATAGCCACAGCTGCTGTCTGCCTGTCCCCCCCTGCTCCCACCATCTCTCTCCTGCACTCTTCTACCCATCTTCTCCCCCACTGCCATGCAGCCTCTACTCTCCTGCCTGTCCCTCTCCATCCCATGTTTACCCTTGCTCCGTGCCAGCATGCTCCATCCATGCTGCAGCCTGTGGCACTGAGCACAGCCCCAAAGCAGCAGCATACAGCCCACGTCTACTGGGGGATGGGGGAAGTGGGCTGGGGGCTGTGCTCAGGGCTCCAGGCTAGAATGGGGACGGAGCCTGCTGGCACCGAGCGGAAGCTGGGGAAGGAACAGGGAAGCAGAGACTGGGGGGAGGGTGGGAAGGGAGCAGGGAGCAGAGGCTGCAGACTTTGGGCCTGAATTTATGCAGAAGTTCACTCATCAATGGTCCTTTGGTAACAGATGAGAATGCAGTGTGATGCAGATAGTACTGGATGTGTCAACTTCATTCAATTCCAATAACTATAATGTTTTATACAGATGCCTTCAGAAATTAGCACCAGTGGACAGAACTATCTTCAAGCTATTCTATTTGTAACCTGGGAACACCCAAAGGTGTGATCATCCTCAACTGGAAAGGATAGATGAGGCAGGGAACAGTGCTGTGAGAGGGACACAGGTGATTTCAGCACAGGTTCCTCTTTCTTCTAGAGTCAACTCCACACCAATGCTCTTAACTATTTACAGTTTACTAAATGATAATATTCATATTATTTCTTATTCAATATATATATAGATAAATACTCTAACAGGTAACAAAGGAAAACGTTCCGAAAATATTCTTAGCAGTATCTTTTAACACCAAAGGTATACAGATGGATATTTACAATATGATAAGCCAAAAACCCATTATACCAAACTAACCCAATCCCGTGACATTTTGTACAACATATTCATAATTATAATAACAATTATACAAAATATGAGGCGCAGTCTTACACAATATGAGGTGCATTTACCCCTGGATCCCAGCTAGCAAGGGGTGCTCCCCCTTCTATGGGTCTAGCTGGGAGGGAAACTTTCACCCAGGGCTTCCCTCGGGGGGGGGGGGGGGGGGGGGGTGCTCGTTTATCCCTTATTGCAGGAGTCCCTCCCCTGGGGGCCCCGACTCTGCCAGCAACTTAAGTTTCCTTCGAGGAGCTGTTGACCATACCTCAGAGTCCTTTGCTCAATCAGAGGCCCCACCAGCATTGTCTGTGTCACTCCAGGACCTCCCCTCCTGGCCCTGTGCCCCGCTTTGGGCACCGAGGGTTCTTCCAGCTCTCGTGGGGATGCAACCTAGCCGCTGCTGGCTGGGTTTACCTGGCCTTATGCCTAGACCTCCCCCTTCCTGGGCCCTGCTCTAGGCTCCAGGGCTCTTTTAGTTCTTTGGCCGGGTCACACTGCAGGGCTCCAGCTATCCAGCTTACGCCAGGGCTAACCTGAGCAGCCTCAGGCTGCTCCCAGGGTAGGTTCTCTGTGTGCCAGACTGCACGTGTGGGGCCCCGAGCAGCCTTGAGCTACTCCCAGGGCTAGCTCCCCATTTGCCAACCTGCACACCACTTTGTCCAGCCCTCTGCTGAGGATGCAGGCTTGAGCTGCCTCAACGTGGCTCCCAGAGCCTGAGCCTTGTGCGCTGGCCTGTGCATTTCTGGGATGAAGAAGGGATCCTGTGGAGGCTCTTCCCTCTCCAATGTCCCT